TGAACCATTCCCTGCCTTCCTGGAGGCAGTCACTCCAGGTCAGGGGAAGAAGCCTGTGGGGATGTCGCATGGCTCACAGGACCTTCCTGCCAACGGGAAATCTCGAATCCAACCCAATTCACACTGCCTGAAGACTACCTGCTTTGTACAGGATGTTTCTCCTTGGGTGGCCAAATGTCTGCAAGGAGTGAGCACACGTAGACAAGCCAGTGTGCACTCCATGGGCCTTGAAGCCATTTGCTCATTTCCCTTTAATCAAAACCTTCTGCTCTTGTGTTTTCTTTTCTGTTTGGTGACTGAAGCGAAGCTTCATGTGCCTTCACGTGGGAGTTAAGTGGGTCAGTGGGATGCTTTGTTCGTGGCAGCTCTCACGTGGAAAAAGTCCGATGCAAAACGCTGAGGCTTGGCAGGAAAGTGCCAATTAAAGATAGCGGTGTGGGAGCACATTGTGTGAGCTGAAAGTGCTCAAATCTGGGGCTGTGACAACTGCCATGTGCAAAGGGAAGAACGAGGAATTACTAAATTTCACGTTGATCTGAAGTACTTGTGCTTTCCCTGTCTCAAGTGTTGTTCTCATGCAGCATTGATGAGGAGTTTATTCCCTGTTTCCCAGGTCAGTGAGGGGTAGAAGAGGTGAGTCACACGGGGACCTGTGCCAGAGTAGGGTCAGCAGCACTCAGAAGTTGGGTACTTGCACTTCACCTCGTGTTGGCCCATGGTATTTGTGCCAACAGCAGTCCAGCCTTCTCCTCAGCATGGCACAAGGCTGTGCAGGAGATGTAAGTGCCAGGAGATGGCAAAGGGAGAGGTCCATTGCTACATCGAGTCAAGCGAAGCTGTTCCCCCCCTTAGCCATGCAAGCAGTCAAGTTGGGACAGCACATAAAGGAAATGTGGCTGAGTCTGCATAGGAAAACAACCCAGGGACAGCCAGGCTTTCACACTGTTGTCCTCTGCTGTTATGGGCAGCTACATCATCATATTGTCATTCATAAATAAAAACATTTCACCCTGAAGCACCAGGCTCTCAGGTTCCTGAGCAGATGTTGTGCAAAAAGGCCCTGAAGGAAAGGGGAAGAGCAGGTCATTCAGGTATAGTCAGTGTTTCTGCTGAAATAGTCCATCCATCTGCTTCCCACTAGTTTTATTGATGTGTTTTTATTTGAAAGAGCAATGTTTGTAATTGAAAGCTAGAATATCCTTACATTTCTTTACTTTAAAAAACTTTCGGACTTTGTTTTGCCCTTACTTAAAGCTTTTTGTGCCCTTGCTGCAGATGTCCATAAGTTCATCTCTTTTTTCACCTTGCAGATGGGCTGTGCTTTGTTTTGCATGTGTATAAGCACACAGCACCTTGTGTCCAACCAGACCTTTCTCAGCAAGCAGGGAACAGTGTACTTTGCAGTGGACTGATTAGGGAGATGCCTGCAGCTTCACTGGGAGCAGTATCCTCTCAGGAGACTTTTCTGCTGCACTAGCCTCTTTGTTTTGGAGACAGGTAGGTGAATGGAGATCTTTCAGAAATGAGAGCATAGTAAAAAGTACCTTTTTAAGGTATGTTATGGATAGGGGAACTGCCAAATGTCTGCTGCTGAGCCACTGGTAGTGAAGGTCTGGTCAAGCAGTCTCATGTGATGGCAGCAGCTCCTCCAGTGGTTTCTTCAATTTCCTTCATTTAGAGAGTCCTCTCTGCACCCCAGGATGAATCCCCAAGGGCTCCTTAGCAATAGCACAGTTGTTACCTAACCATAACTTTGGAGAGGCTGAGGTATCCCTGCAGACTGGATTCCATGCAGAAGCTTGGATCTGGTTGCCCTTGGGGTATCCTGCAATGCCTTCATGGTGTTTCCATTGGGAACTGTCGCAGGCAATGGATGCGCAGCTTGTCACAGGTGTGCCAGAACTAATGCAGAGTGATGGCCCTGGGAAAGCTGATGGATTGTGCCATGGAATCGAGAGCAGAATTAAAGAATACTGAGAATAATGTTAAGAAACCTAAAGGCCAAGAATCAGAAGAATGCTTTCACCTCCTACTTTTAAAAAGTTGGAAGAAAACCTGCAGGTTACAATGTATTTTTGACTTCTTTTCCTAATGAAAACAAGGCTTATGTGACCAGTCTTTCTGTCTGCTTCTATTCAGCTGTCAGGCTAACCCCCTCCTTTTCCCTTCTCAGTGTTTAGGGGGGAGGAAACAATCTCAAGTTTCATGAGAATAGAAGAGAGAAATAATCATTGCCAGCCTCAGGGGAAGGCAGGAGGGAGCTCGGGCATGGTTGATCCCTTGTGATGGAGGGCTGCCCTTCCATCTGCACAGGGATACAGCCCTGGACTAACCCCACTGTGCCACCGTGTCCCCTTGGAGGGGAGTGGCACAGGACACACAAAGGAAGGTAGGGCTGCTGAGAGAGCAGGTCGGATTAGAGGGACAAAGAACACAGACCTGTGAGGAACCAGGCATCATTAGTGCTGCTGCTCGTGGAACAATGTCTTGAATATAGGCATAAACTGTTCTAAAAGTCTCTGAAGGGAGCAAGGAAACAGTCATGTAGCAACAGGAAAAAAAATCCAAATATTTGGGCTGATTATGTGACAAATTTATTTCTGTGCAGACTTTACCTGCTTTAAAATAAAAATGTGAAGAAAATGCATAAAGCCCATGTCCACAATCTGTCAGTTGCACAAGGAAGCTTCTAGGTTTTATGCCATTGTTGTCCCCTGAAGTCTTGCAACAAAAGAGAGAATAAAAGTTATTTTCTGTGCAAATTTTACCTAGGAGGGGAGAAAAAAATAACTTATGTCAGCTGCATTTCTCAGCATTTCTTTACAAAGCTTTAGCCTGCCAAACAGTGAATGTAGAATCACCAGAAGAAAGAATCTGTGAAAAAAGGGCAAACATACAATTATATCAGAAGACAGTTTTGGGAGATTTCCGAAGTAAATGCTTCTTCATTGTAATACTGAAGAGAATAAATTCTCAGCAAATGTGTGACATGCAATAATAAATGTGTGATATGAAGTTATTGATTTCTTACTAAAACGAAACAAAATATTGCTTATTGTAGTTCACCTAACTTACTATTATTCCATTTTTATCTCATTTTCTCGCTTAAATGAGCAAGGTATTTTGTGAAGGTATTTTGGGAACAGAGCAGGATCTATTTAGACTCTCTGAGAGAACTTTACCTGTAGTTCTAGCAGATCCAGATGAAGTGGAATGATTGGTCCTTTGTTAATGTACCCATGATCTCTGGCCTCAGCTGCTGTTGGGAGACTGCAAAACAGGAGTCCCAACAGCGGGAGAAGGGCAAGACTCTGCAGGAGTCCTGTTTGCAGAGCTGCCCAGCCGGGGTGGGGAAACACCCGGCACACGGGCTGTGCTGAAGCAGAGCTGTCTCTGCTGTGGGTAGGGCTTAGCCAGTTAGGGCTCTCAGGAGATTAGCTACTGCCCGGGGGTGAGAACCATGGTAATTTCTAAAGCTGGTTTGTAATCACCTGCTTTCAGTTTACTCAGACCTGGCATCCTTTTAAGCACTAATATCCCCAGCTTTCTCTTGACATCTGTGCAGCCTGTTCCAGACTACACTCAGCCTGTGCCGATGGCTTCACCCAAAGCAGCAGGTAGGTATTGCTCTGCAACCTGATGGCAAAAAAGCTGGAAAATCTTGGATTATTGGAGGGGGCTTGCCAAAAGTCACTGCTGTGGCAGAGATGTGAGCCGAGGAGAAAGGCGTTATTATTTCACGAAGTTATGAATGAAAATGGATCCTTTGTTCCACATGCTGCTCTCCCACGTTTTGAGGGCTCAGACTCGGTGCTCATCGGGAGCTGCAGTGTTATGGAGGTCAGCTGCTTTCTGCAGCACAGAGGACAAGGACAGTGGTGGTTTGATGGGACATGGAGGTTCATTCCCCACAACCAACAGGAGAACAGCAGTCATGAGCCCAGGGAACAAGATGGCCAAATACACGTTGGTAAAGAGCTTCTGCACAGGGCATTTATTTCCCATTCTCACCTCAGTTATAGAGTGGGAGTACTGCAATTTTTTCCATGAAGGAGAAAGAAGTGGTTGTTTTTAAATGCAGCTTTTAAACTAAGGCTGCAAAAACCAGACATGGAGTGGGTCTAGTGGGAGGGCAACAAAGATCATGAAGAGACTAGAGCATCTCTGGTATGAAGGCTGAGAGAATTGGGGCTGTTCAGCCTTGAGATGACAGAGAGGACCTCATACATGTGTATAAATATCTAAAGAGGGATGTCAAGAGGATAGATCCAGGCTCTGCTCGGTGGTGCCCAGCAACAGAAGAGGCAACAGGCAGAAACTGATGCACCGGAATCTCCGCCTGAACACGAGGAAGAACTTCTCCAGTGTGCAGTGACCGCGCACTGGAACAGCTTGTTGTCCAGAGACAGTGCGGAGTTTCCCTCACTCCAGAGGTGCCTTGGCACAATGCCGTGCTCTGGGCTGGCCCTGCCGGAGCGGGGAGGTTGGAGCGGGTGTCCCGCTGTGTCCGTCCAGGCTGCCGCACCCGGTGCTTCTGCGGCTCCTCCCAAGGGAAGGCAGCGCGCTCACGGGCCCGCGGCAGCGCTGAGCCCTCACGCTCCGCGCGCAGCCTGCGGGGCTCCTCTCAAAGCGTTCCGGCCTGTCCCCGGTCGGAGCAGCAGCCGGGGGCACGGCAGTGGCTGGAGGCCGGCCAGCGGGGACGGGGCCGTGGCATTCCCGGGAACGCGAGTAGCATTCCCAGGAATACGAGTGGCATTCCCAGGCACACGCGTGTCCGCGCTCCCGGCTCCCGGCGGGCGGGGTCGCCATGGCGACCGGGCGCGCGGTAACGGTCCCGACGCATGCGCACGGCGCGCGCTGACCTCACCGCGGTACCAGCGGCCGCAGGGCGGCGCCGCGCCGGCGCGCGGGGCGGGGCGGGGCGGGCGGCGCGTGCGCGCTGGGTCCCCCATTCTTCCCGTGGTCAGCGGGGCGCGCGCGCGGCCATGGAGCGGAGCGGGCGCCGCCGCCGCCGGCACTGAGGGAGGGAGACGCGAGAGGGAGAAGGGAGCGCGTCCGCCCGGCCCCCGCCCCCGCCCCGCAGGTACCGCCCGCGCCCGCACCGCGGGGGGGCCGCGGGGAGACGCGCGGCCGGGGGGCTTTGTGTGCGGTGCCGCCGCCGGGTGACCGCGGGGAGCGCGGTTCGGGGCGGGGCCGAGCCGTCCGCGGTACCGGCCGGGAGCAGCGCGGTGCCGGCTCTCGCAGCGGCGCGGCTCGGGAAGGGCAGGGGAGGGCGGTCCGGTGGGACCGGGGCTGCGGGGGCTGCCGGGGCCTGGCGCGGGGCCGCCCCTCGGCCCCCCGCCCTGGGGCCGCCGAGCACCGGCCGTGCGGGAGCGGCGGTGCCGGGGCCGCCTCAGAGCCGGGTTCCCGCTGGAACGGACGGCTCGGCGAACGGAGAGAGGTGCGGCCGCTCTGCCGGCGGCGCGGGGCTTCGCTAACGCTTGGGGCTGCTGCGCTCCCAGAGCATCGTGTGGGTTGGGTGGGTTCGGCCCTTGTGCTTGGCCCCTTTGTGCACGTGCCGTGCTCCGCTTCGTTCGTTTCTGGCAGCGTTTTTAATGGAAGTTGGGTCAGAACTGTGAGTTTGTGCGAAGAGCTGGGTTGGTCATTAGATAAATCCTGCAGAAATGCTTCAAGAGAGATAATAAGTCTGAGTAAATAATATGTAATTGTGCACGTTACAGGCCTGTGTGGGCTCTGCTTAAGGTATTTTTAATGTTATATGTCTAAAGATACTGGTGACGAAGGGAAAGGCTCCCTCCTTCCCTAGTACCTGCACAGCTGCTTGAGAAGGATGTGGGAAACTGAGGTAGGATAACAACAGGCTCAGGGTTGTCTGGGAAGCGTGTGGTGGAGTAGCACAGAGGCTCCCCAGGTGTGTGGGTTGTTTGACCAATAGATCTCTCTGCCCCATGTGGACTTAGTTCACAAGTCAGTGTTCAGTAAAGGAGACTAGGGTTTAGTAAAGTAGCGTGTGCCAGGCCAGTGTTAATAGGGCAGGGTTGTGGTCTCCAGCCCAGCACTTGTGCCAGCATCAGAGACAAATGTTTTAGTCCAGTTTGCTGCTGAGCAGTGTAGCCCATTTCTCTGCGTCTTTTGGGCTGTTGCATCTCTGTTCACTGCTCCTCTTGATGCTCCCTGGGCACCTTTGAGGATAAATCATTGTCGCTTGACACCTGGAGACACAGATCCATCATTTAGATCAGTAGTGCTTAGATAGTTCTTGGAAGGTTTTGGAAGTGCAAGTGTTTGCTTCCATGTGGGATTCTGAATTAGATTTAAGAGTTTTGCAGCTGGAGAAGGGATGTGTTTGCAAACTTGCAGTAGGAGTCAGCTTTCTCTTGAGTAAAGGACTGCACCCAAGTGCAGAATGGAACTGCAGTGCTGTCATATTCAGGGTCTTCCTTGTCGTGGCAACACAGCTTGCTGTGGGGACCAAGCCTTTGTGCTGCATTCCTGGGCTTGGCAAAGTCGAGCCTTTGCTTGTTTTCTCTGTTGAACCCTGTCAGTGGGACTGACGCCTGGAAGTTACCAGAGGGACAGAGCAATGACATGTCACCAGGGGTGATTCTCTCTGTATTTCATAGTCTCATTTGCCTAATTTTTTTTTAATTGTTGCCAACATAAATAGATTTTTTTCATACTGATGCCTGCAGCCTTCCTGTGAAGTCCTTAGAATTTGTCAAGCAGCTTCAAAGCTTTCTGTTTCAAGAGGAATAATGCCATGGCGTTATAGACTTCAGCCTTGCTTCACTTAGCTGATAACAAGCAGTGTTAAAAGTGATAGAGCAGCAGATTTTGGAAGTGGAAATGTTTCTCTAGTTCATGTGATGTTCCCCAGAAGTACAGCTGAGGAGAGAGTGCCTGTGATTGAATGAGTTGGTCCTCCAGGCATCTTTGAAGTTCTGTAGGGAGCTTGAATCTATGCTACAGCTTAGGTATTAAGAAAACCATATCTCTAAACAGCAAAAGTCAAACTGAAATGAAATTTCTGTTTCTGCCATATTAATCAATCCTCTATCCATCAGGCAATTTGGGTCAGGGCAGTTGGGTGTTAAGAGGATGAGAGTTGACAGCAAGTCTGGCCACTTCTGTAGTGATTTACAACATCACAGAGGAGGATGGGGGCAAGATGTCCTCTACAGATGAGCCCTCAAACCTTTGTCAGGAGCAGGTCAGAAAATGTTTCAGGAGGCTGGACATGAAATGTTCAGAGGGATAAGTAGTCACCTTCCCTGCATGTACCTCACAATTTCAACATACACGTGGATTTCTGTGGGAGTAATGTGGCTTTGAAGCTTGTGGACTGCCATTACAGGTCCCTTCTGGCCTCAGATGACTTTGGATCAGGCTCATGTGTCACAGAGTGTCTCATTATCTCAGGCCTTGCCTAGACTAGGGCTGGAAATCTTGGTGGCGTGCCTGGATGGGGCTTGCTGCTGTTTGTGCCTCCTTGGCTGGCACTTGTAATTGAAGCTTCTCCTGGATTGTGACAGTGCCAGCACACCTTGGAGCAGTGATTGCCAGTGCAGTGGAGAAAATGCTGGCAAGTATAGAAAGGTCTGTCACCCCAGCAAGTAAAATAGACTGTCCATGTCTATTAATTTATTCAGACTGTGACTTGAGCAAATTCTGAGCAGTCTGACTGTGAGGAAAGGGGTTTGTTTTCTTCCTTGATGAAGGTTGATGTGACAGTGATGTGCAGCTTTAGCTTTACCTTGCTGTTTGATGGTGTCCTCTTCATGTTGTGCTTTGCTCAGTTGTTCCATTTCCATCACACTGTACAGTGTTGAAGCTTGCATGATGTGTTTCTTTAGAGCTCATTCAGTGGTTTGGATCTTGGCTATTGGACCAACCTGTTACCAGTTCTCAAAGCTGTGTGAAAGCATGATGTGAGCTGTTTGTGAGCTTTGCACAGTGGCACACTGAGGAGCTGAGCACGTACATGTTCCTTGGCATTCTGCACTGGTGTCTGGCTCTGTCATACATGGGAGAGTTCACTTTCTCCTCTCTTGGGGAGCATTAGCACTCTTACACCTGGAAAAAAAGCCACACCACAAAACCCAAATTAACTGCATGGAGTTGTAACTGTTCAAGTTGTAGAAGGGCAGTAAATGGGTTTTGTTGAAGAGGTTGCAGGTGCTCCCCAAGAGATTTGATCTCAGTTCATGGTTAGTGTTTGAGTTTATCTGGCTTCCTGTCCTGCCCCTTAATCAAATCTCTGCATGTTTGGCTCTGCAAGAAAGGAGATGTCCATTCTGCATCCAGAAACAAGTATGCCAAGCAGGAGCCACAAAATTAATTATTAGGGAAGCGTCATCATCATTAGTTTATTGAGAGTGGGAAGATTTAAAAATCTTTAATTTATATCCATTGCCAGCAGGATAACAGACTAAACAGCCTAACCAGGCCAGTCCCTGATGCAGTGTTTCAGTATTTCAGGCTTATTCTGTGGCCCTTTCTCCACATTTTGCGTGTAGATACTTCAGATTCCAAGATACTTCAGAAAGCCAAATTGAACCAACAGTAATTTGCTGAGGCAGAGATCTGATCAAAATGAAGTCAAATTTTGACAGGTGTTTCAAAGTGCTGCTGAGCAGAAGAGAGGGATTGCAGGTGTGTCTCTGCTTGTTATATGCAGGTGGTTTCATAGGCCAGAAGTTCCCTTAACTGTTACTAGGGCTCAGCCCAATTCATGGTACTGTGAAATAAAACCTCCTTCTGCTCCTCCATGTCCTGTGTTTCCTCCACCCAGTGTTTTATATACCTTTAAGTGTCATGGTGGCTTTCTGCACTCCCCTGCAGTCTGTGCTGAGGGATTTCTTTGGCATCCACTTCAGTGCAGTTGCAAGTGCCAGGCTGAGTGAGATCTGCTTGTGCCTGAGTGTGGAGGGTAACTCTCCTTCCCCACCTGGAGCTGAACTGATGCTGGGTGCTGCCTTCTACACCCCCCAGCCTGTCAGCAGTTGTGATCCTGCTGCTGCTGAGTTCTCCTCTCTTTGGCCAGGAGTTTCCATGGCAGCCCTGGAGAGCAGGGGTAGGCAAAGACCCCTGTTTTGCCATGCAGAAAACTTGTGCTTAGAATCATGGACGAGAGATGGGTATTAGCTGGGAAGCCTGAAAGGAGACGAAGCAAATAACCTTTTTCTGAAACTGTTGACTTGCAAATTGCTGCTGTTGCACCCCACAGCCAGTGTCCCTTGAGGGCTTGCACCCAAGGTTTGATCTTCTGTATTATTTTCCTGTTCCAGCCTGTCATTTTACTATAAGCACTTGTCTCTCAAGTACTTCCTTCCGAGGTAGTTCTGGCTTGGACTTCCACACAAAAACTGACTTCTGTGTCACTAGCCAGTTATATATCAATAGGAATAGCAACATCCTGGACAACTGGATTAAGAAATTTATATCAAACCACTGCTCTCTTTGAAATTCAGTTATGTGGATCTTATTTGATGAATTGGTTTTTTCTTTTCCCAAGGTGTTATCTCACCCTCAGTTACCACTGCCACTGGAGACTTACTTTAGAGTGACTCTGGGAAAGGCGCTGAATTCCTACCCTGTACCTGCCTGTAAAATAGGAAGGTGATATTATACTACTATTTTCTTCAAGTGATGTACACAAAGTAGATGCTTTCCATCTTCAGGATTGCATAAATTAGTAATCTTAGCCTGAGAGACATAATAATTCACAACGCAAAGAAAAATTTCAAGATTCAGATGTTCTGTGAAGCCACTTGTCATGCCAGCAAACTGCAAGTGATGATGGGTCACTGCTCTAATTCTCAGTAGTGTTCTATTTCCAAACCTTGCTAAGCATTTTGCCCACAAGGCTACAGATGAAAGTCTATTCTTCCTTTGTTTTTTCCAGATGATCCGATATTAGTGCTGGATTGTGGAGGAGAGGGATAGGATGTGACTGGAAAATTTTGTCCTGCTCTCCTAGGTGCTGTAGAAAGGGGGCTGATGACACCTCCATTCTTCTGGGCTGCCAGACAGCCCCCTGGAGGGAACCTTGTGCACCCTTGGCTGGATCACCTTGCAGAGCCA